ATAGGGTGGGCTGAGTCAAGTTTTAAGAATGTAAACAACAAAATGTTCCAACTTGCAATGTCTCTATTTATTCACATGGGTTCCCACAAGTCTTGGATGTCTAATAACAGAGTGAAACATTTTTAAATTGTGACTAAAGCACAGTTCTGTAGAGCTAGACTAATAAACCTGCTGATTATCTTATTGCAGATATATCGGTATCAGTGTGTATGTTGGCCAGTAAGTAACAAGAAATATTAATGGAAAAACATAGGGGAAGATGAGTGGCAAAACATGGCATAATGTTAAAATATGATCAACATCATGTGGACCCATAACTGTAGCTTTAAAGTCATTAAAGCTAAAGCTGGTAACTTTTATGAAAATATGTTTTTGATTTATTTGATGAAACTGTCACTATATTCACACAGTAGTTCATGAGACAGATAGCCTGTGGAAGGGGAAAAAAAACATGTCTCTCTGCCTCCTCGTAGTGCTTCTAACGACATTTGCTGGAATCTACCGGGGCTTAAGGAGAACAACTAATCAGAACTGAGGAGTCTCCAATACAGCTGTCAATCATATCAATTACTGCTCATGAACTGCAGTCAAACTGTCAAATTAGGCAGCCCTGATCAAATATGAAACGTGATTCTGTTACTGCATTGCCTATTTTTCACCCAGATGTTTTCAGAAACATATTTTATTGTACTGTTTAGCTGTAAAATGAGAATGTCTGCTCTGGCTGGCCCAGTTGTTTTCAACATGGAGGCTGGGTCACAAATTTTGTCATTTTACAGTTGAACAGTGTGCTAGAATAGGTTTTTGAAAACAATTACGGTGAGAAAAAGGCAATGCAGTAACAGAATCTTGATTCACAGGCACAGCAAACCAGCATCAGAGAACTAGCAGCATTAAGAGCCCGCTGCGACACCTCACGACGTTGCTGTGTCTTGGACCAAAAGGTTGCACGTAAACACACCAAACTGAGGGCTGAAGTGTTCTGCACCTGCTTGAGAGGGCATACTGTATTCTTCATTCATAAAGGGAAACTGGAAGACTATCTTGATTTTAGCACATTACCAACACAGTCCAGTGCTGAAAGAACAAAGCATATTTACTGTGCGTCAGTGAACAATAACACAAACCAACAGGAAACATTTCTACTAAAAAGCTCAATGACTTAAGAAGAATAATCTTACTTTATGTCACAAGTTCGTCTCAACCTCACTCCCTCTTGACTTTAGCTGAGCTGAACTGCCAATCAGAGTGCCGATGGGCTACACTGTCGCCAAAACTGATTCAACATGCTGAATTGACAGAGCAAAAAACGACTAGCACCAACAAGGGCCAAGGGTTTGGGACACGCCACACCAATGATTGCGGCAGACGCTCACCAATAGCCCAACTCTGACCAGTAGCTGACTTGGTGGCTGCCAGGGCCTTTAGAGACTCCTCAGCTCTGATTGGTTGTTTTCGTTCACTTATGGTGGATTTGTGAAATTGTCATTAGAAGAACTACAAGGAAGCAGAGGAACATGATTATCTGCCTCGTGTACTGTGTGGATATAGTGACAGTTTCAGCAAATATGACATAAAGCTATTTTCCTAAAAGTTGCTAACTACAGCTTTAAATGAACCTCAAGTAAATAGTGTATGAAAATACTTCGCCATATGTAGTAGCTTTGTTTTCCATCACTTTCGAGGTTCAATTCAGAACAGTTTCAAAAAATAAAGTTGGGCAGTGAGGATCTTGATTAAGTGATACATAGCTTTAGTCAGGTACGGAGCTATGTGGTCCTGGACCATGTTGTAGTTTCTCTGTCCTGTATGACCTCAGCTGTTCCCAGGATGCCATGCACTGCTGTTTTTCCATTGGCTGCAGAAGCTTCCTGTTCAGGCGTCAGAACTTCTTATGAAAAGTGCTCACAGTTTGGCTTCATGGAGAAAAAAAAAGAAATGTGTGTCTTCATTTCTGTGGGTGGGCATACACGTGACATGAATACTCAATGCATAGTTATGCATTTGTGTCTGTGTGTATTTATGCACAGAGGTTGTCTTTCAGTATTTACTCCAGGAACACAAGAGATGCACTTATATATAAGCTTAACACACTGGCTCTCAGGTTTAGCCCACAAGCCAAACTCCCCAGGCAGCAGCAAACAAGTTTTGTTCGGGACATATGAGGTCACCTGAACAGCTTCACAGAGAGCTATTCAGTTCTTGTATGTGCCTTATGTCAGTGTGAGTACACCTATTAACTGTATGTTGGTTTATCTTTAAATCTTCATTACGTTCAAGTGAAAAGCCTGGTCACATTTCAGGACTTTGCATATTTGTCCTGTTCAGTTTTGTTTATCATATTACATCACTCTAATAGAATCAGTGGAAAAATATTGTGGCAGAATTATGTGGTCATGGGTTCAAAAATATCTCTCATTATTGGTGTAATTGCAGCACTTTGGTCTGTGTGCCTGTCTGCAAAACAGGTGCCATATATTTTAGTTTGATTGTAACACACTCGTGTTGGTATATTGTTATAGAAATGTCAGCTGTTTATCCAGCTAAACGTCACCACCCACCAGAGACAACATGAGCAGGTGGTTGCCATGGGGACAGAGGGCTGTGTTTATCTGTTGCCGTGCGAGAGAGGAGGGCGTTGTGTGGTGGGGGCTTGTTGGTAGCACTGAACGCTGCAGTGGACAGCAGCCAGAGAATGGCAGATGGAATCCAGAGAGAGGGAAAGGCCAACCCAAAATAAACCCATACAGAGCGTGCTGGCCGAGCCCACACCATACACAGCACCAGATAAGGAGGCAATGTCCATTTTATGATAGGATCGTATGGCAATATTTGAGCTGCCCAGAGAGATGTGTCGATCACATGGTCTGACAGGTGTTTGTCTTTCACAAGTTTGACATTGGCATTGAAATCCAATTTTACTATGAATACTGCACGTAATTAATGACAACACACCACAAAACCTGCCTTCTCAAGTTGTTTTAGTATCAGTTTTTAAACCTGTATTCTACTTGGAAAGCATTGATACTGACGGAAACAAACCAAGACATGTCTCAATATAAGTCTTCACACCCACACTAATATCTGTCACACTCTTGCATGCCATCTCCTCATGTGTTGCTCTCCGCTGTCACTTAGACGTGTTGTACAGTAGGCTGTATCTGTTTCATCTACTTCTGCCGGAGATTCAGTTTGCATGTGTCAGTGACCACATTTCTTGATGTCATCTCTCCACTGGGTCAGTATTGGACAAAACTAAGTCGGACACATATTTTATTTTTCTAAAATCCAGCACAAACACGTCAAACCAAAGTTAGACTTAAACTGATTGCTGACCTTCTACTTAAACGTGCTAATATGTTAGATAATCTGCACCTATTTAAAGACAAGCCTGGTAATGCTAAAAGATGGTGAATGCACAAACATCAATCAAAGCATGCTTTAATTTTGTTTATTTTTTATTTGTCATATCTCAGATATTTGCATAAAAGAGCTGCTTGCCCTTAAAGATTTTAGCTAAAGATTTTACATTGCATGAAAGTCTGAATGTTTTAAAAGCATTTCTACACTGATAAAATACAATTTGACTCCTTATTAAATGTTCAGTGGTGTCCAAGTCTAAAGCAATCAAGATCGACTATAAGGGCATCAATACAAATGATCAGTATCAGTTCTTGCCTTCATAAACTACTTACTGGTGTAACTCTAGTTCTTTAGAACTTTAATTTAATATTTCTATTGAAATGTGTATCTGTATTTTACCCTACCATGTAACAACATTGAGTGTATCTTCTATCTACGAAGTCAGTGAAGATGGCAATGGTGAGGCAAGGGTGAGGCACTAAGGTGGGGTATTGAGGTGCAGCAGGGTGGGACCTCTAATCCCTCTTGGGGCCACAGACATGCTTTTAGGGGGTTAACATTCATTGCATAGTACTGCTTCTCCCTGTGTGGCTATCTGGTACCACATTGACAGTGTCCTGACACACTACATGGATATATGGTTGCTGCAGTGCTGATTGATTGGCAGCTGTCACCATTAACTCTGTGTACATTGCAGACTTCCCCTCTCCGAATAAAGCAAAAGACTAGGAAGAAAGTGCAAGTGTAAACTTAAGGGAACTTTCTGTATTGCTGTATTTAGAACAAACAGTATGGCCCTAATTCTAGGTTTAGACATAAAGATATTTTTGACTAAGTTTAAAACTGCTGCACAGATGTGCTGTACATTATGAGGCTAAACTGAAACTGTACTACACCACCAAGTCTTTCCGGTGAATTGAAAGCAGCAATATAAATTATAGATTGAACAGCTGTAATTTATAGATTTTTTTTCAAGCATTTTTAAAAAATCATAAGATCACCTTCGTTGTTTACTCTTAGATTTGAAATTGAGGCCTCTAGGTCGCAACATTGTAGTGTGTGAGTTTAAGCATTTCTGGAGAAATGATAGCAAAGTGTCAGGAAACACACCTGTGGTTAGATGTGACAGCCTGTTGGCTTTAGTTTCACTGTGACAAAGAGTTGTAGATCCTTTCTTTCAAGCCCCATACTTGTATTATTATTTCAGAAATGTGATATATGGTAAGTGTGGCCACATCAGCCTATGTTCTTATACTTATAAGGCTTGAAGTGTAAAATAACAGGGTAGATACACACAGTGTATCTATGTTGGCACTTGAGTTTTGGCATATGATTGACACCACTAGATGGCACTCTGCACCAGCTACAAGCAGTGACATGGTGTGTCCACTGAGTGTGTAGATGACTCATGAATCTGTGAAGTATCATGCTCACATGTTCAATTTAATTTCTCCCCCAAAGGCCATTAATTTTTCTCAGGCTGATGATTTTCACATGAAATGAAATATCATAATTTACATGAATCACACAATGCAATCAGTGTAGCACCATGTCTGATAATATTGTAGTTAATGTCAAAATTAAAATGTGATTCAATTGACTACTATTTTGTTTTCCTTTCTATTTTGCTCCCTCAGGACCAAGTGAAGCCACCAAAGCCATCCAAACCCAAGACAGGAGAGACGGTAGTCGAAGGCCAAGCTGTGGAGGGCCTCGAGCAGATACCTGAGGGACAAGAGGGACGCCCAGATAATCTCAATTCAGATGAGGAGGTAGAGATTGAGGAAATTATTGAGGAGTCTCGCACCAAGCGTCTCCAACGCACCACCAAGCAGCAAGTGGACAACATCAAGAAAGCCTTCTCCAAAGAGAAAATGGAGAAGACCAAAAAAAAGACAAAGGAGAACCTTGAGAAGACAAGACAGAAAACCCGTGACAACCTGGAGAAAACAAAGCACAGCCTGGAAAAGAAGATGGGCAAGCTCGGGACCCGCATGACCCCCAACATGGAGCGCAGGGCGAAGCTCAAGAGCTCCAAAGACAAGATGAAGAAGTCCCTCACCCCTGACCACACGGTCTACGCTCGTTCCAAGACCACTGTGTACCGCGTGCCCCCCTTCACCTTCCATGTCAAGAAGATCCGAGAAGGGCAGGAGGAGGTGGTGCAGAACACAGAGATGGTGGAGGTGAAAGAGGCTGAGGGCCAGCCAGGGGGCGAGGAGAACGGGCTGGGTGGTGTGCATGTGGAGGTGGAGGAAGGGGAGCTGGTGAGTGTAGACAGCCCAGAGATGGAGACTCTGTTGGAGGTGACTGAGGACTCTCAGCTGGTCATGGTGGAGCCAGACCACCACCTAAAGAAGGCCCAAAGCGAATAGAGCCTCCCAGCTCTGCAGGGCTGTGATGGGAGAGATAAAAGGATGAAGAGGGGAACGGAGTCTAATCATAAGGACACAATGTTAGTCGTAGGGACTTACTAGACGTGATCACAATCTATGACATCTAACTTGTTTTCTGTTCTCTTTTTATTATACCCAACAGGGATGACTTTCATATTTGCTCCTATTTAGCATACAAATGAGAAAAACAAAAACAAAGCTAGCTTTTTTAAACATGCTGCAGGCTGACTGGTTATTCTAGACTTGTATGTTCAGGCTATTTGCTGTTTGTTGTTGGTGTGATAAACTGAGTGGCTATAAGAATAAAAAAGATATAAATAGTCTTTGCTATTGAGAAGTAATGTATAATCCAATATTTGTCATGTATGACATGCTCAGTGGGTATGGTTACAGAATGTTGTTGGCAGGATTCATGCTTTAATGCACGGGCCTAGATTTCATGATGGGGAGATGCGCAGGGGACACTTCACCATTAATGTTTTGAAAATATGCATTGTTTTGACAAAATTAAAGATAATTACACCATAAAATTATGCCGCAAAGGAACAAATTGGTGCATAAAAATTCACCAGAATGCATGAAGTGTACAAAATGTACTGGTGGAGGACCCCCAAACCTCCCGTTTTAGATATGTCCCCCCCTCCCGTGTGTTGAAACGAAACCTACGCCCTTGCTTAAAGAAACAGTGTGTAAGATTTAAAGGGATTTATTGGCATCAAGCAGTGAGGATTGCAGATTGCAACCAGCTAAAACTTCTTCAGGAGTTCAGTGTTCATGTTCAGTGTTTTTTTTTTTTTACCAGAAGCTGATTTATCCGCAGAGGTCTCTTCTCCAAAATAAATGGACTGGTAAAAACACTGAATAAAGCAGTCTCATGTTACAAATCAGTGTTTCTCCGACGCTGTTTGGCATGTCGGAGATGAGCTGCTAGCCTGTGTGTGCTCACCTTTTTTCTCTTACTTAAGAACTTAAGAACCAGACACTCAGGAGGTTTTTACCATGAGCTGAATTATACCCAGAGGTCCCTTCCTCTCCATAACAAATGGATCAGCTGATTAAACTGCTAAAAACACTGAATAAAGAAAAAAAATCTGTGTTTTTCCAAAGCTCTCATCGTGGAGGTGCTGCAGACTGTGGTGGTTGACATGAATGGCCCTATTTAAAGCCAGTGTTTGTCGCTCTGGGCTACTGCAGAAACATGGCGGTGCAACATGGCAATCCTTGTAGCTGAGGACCCCACTCCCTATGTAGATAAAAACAGCTCATTCTAAGGTAACAAAAACACAACAATTATTATTTTCAGACATTATCAGACATTATACATTGAAGAAAACATACTTACTATAAAATATTCCATTTCTGCCTATATATCCCCCTAAATCCTTCACACTGGAGCTTTAAATGGATGGTTTTAGTGATGTAATGTGCATGAGGGAAACAAAACAATGAACAAGTAGGCAAGGTTAAGGCCTGCAGAAGAAATAAAGGACTGAGGAGGATGGAGGAGAGAAGACAAGTGGGAATGGACTGAGAAAATCCTCTCCTCAAGAGTTTACAAAAATGTAACCTCTGATATCAGGTAATATACTGTAAGGTTTCTTGATATAAAGTGAATGCAAATGACTAGAAATAGAAGTGTTAAGTCTGATCAGTTATATTGTGAACATTAAAACACAGACAAATTCTACTATTAGATGATTTAAGCACTTACAGATAGCACCATACTTACCAGCTACAGTTACTGCCATGACAAATCATTTTAAGTTTTACCTTTTTGAGGATGAGGCTGCAAGTGAATATCGTGTATGTACATTTTGTTTAAAAAAAAAAAAAAGACAGTGACAAAGGATCATTAAGCCTTAGAAGAATCAGTCCACCACTGAGTTTTAAGTTAAACTATTTTATGTGGCAAAATGTCTGTTTGTTCTATTCTGGGTCACTCACTCAAAATTTCAACTATAATGTTATATCTGAAAGCTGATATCAATGAAATTTAGAATGTAGCCTTTTGTATCTTGACAATGCATGCTTGAAAAATATGGTTTGATCATCATTTACCTTAATGTTTTGATGTATATTCACCACGCTACGTTTGTTGTATCTGGACATGTTGTACTCACCAACTGCCATATAGCACACCTCTGCACAGAGGAGAAGAAAAATGTCTGAGTCACCATGGTCACGGCTCATCACAGTACATTTCCACATCCCTATAAAATTTTCACAAAGTAATTGCAGGCAGAAAAATGATGGCCCGAAGAGCAAGACGACAGTTTAATGACTGACTACGTAACACACGGTGATGCAAATGTCATCCTAAATGCAGTCAAAGTGAGACAGCACATTGCCAAGTATTATGATCGACATGGCACTTTAATAAATGTCAGAACAACATGATCTAGTCCACAAACATTTTTGCAGGTGCAGTCTGGTGTACTTCTTCTGAATTACAATGAATATGAAAAAAACTGCCTGACCGTCATTGTAATTTAGAAAAGATGATTGTGGACTTCAATAATAGTGATTGGATTGTAATTATTGGGATCCTGACGTAAACTGGCTATGCCATTGTTCAATCATTGCCACTTTGATCATGTGGGGCAGCCACAAAGGACTCCGGAAGGGGGAGAAGGTGAAAGTACTGCTTCCATTTTCCTCCCTCTAGACTGTGTTTGATCTTAATGTGGTGCAGGCAGGCAGAAGCCCACTGTGTAACATGGAGCAGCACCATTAAAATAATCAATGGGCTGGGGAATGCAATCAAGGAGAGTGCTCCCTCTGTGCACTGAGCAGGGTAGAGGACAATGAGAAGGACAGAGGAAAAACCGTGTTTCCGTGTGAGTGTGTTCATGTGTGTGATTGTGATGTATGTGCATACCATGTACCTTCATTGATATTTTGGTGAAACTCCAAGTTTATATCAGTCCCCTATTAAGTGCAAATTCAAGGAAAGCAAAGAAATTGATTACACACCTGTGATATCACATGGGCTTAAAATGACTAATGTATTCTCTTTTTGGTGATCTACATTGTTTTGCACATTAAATATTGAAACACTTGTAAGATATTGGTCCCTTTTTTTAAGGTGTGATATTGCCAACATGTATATTTTGCTTTGTTTTGACTTACTGCTATAAAACAGAACCAGCCTGCTATAAGCATGATAGTTCATGCACAGTTAAATAGAGACACTGTCATTTTAAAAAATGCTGCAACACAATAATTACTGTTGGTGTTGATGGATTCATGTTCAAGTAATGAAGCTTGCCGTTTCTGTTGTGTTTTAGGCCTCTTTTGCCACTTCAATATTAATAAAAGCTTACTGAAAAATATATATACTGCCTATTATTTTATTTTTATTAATTTTATGAACATTTAATATACGTGACTACTCTATTAGTGCTCACCTTTTGTGAGAAGATGCTTGTGTATTAAATCAAACATTTAATTAAAATTAGAAGACACACTGAACAGCAAGCACTGGTGTTATTAAACTCTTGATGACGTCGACATTGCCAGTAACTCAGATGACTTCCAGGCTGGCTGTTCTGTCGAAGTGCTCATCCTCCCGCCGCAGCACATAAGACGCGGTCTCACTCTGTGGTCCACCTATAGGGAGGGTTTGCAGGCGGGAACAGCGCAATTGCGACAGCAGTAAACACGACGTTCTCAACCAACCTCTTCATAAAGTCCCGCCTCTCCAGATCATAAACTGTATTATGATTGGCTACAAGAGAAATACAGATTCCTATTGGCTGTTGGAGCTATCAATTAAGTAGTTTATGGGGTTTGTCTGGCTGGAAAGACTGCAATGTAGGAGATGGGCTCGCTGGGAAAGTAGAAGAGTTTCCCGTGCTGGCAAGAAAACCTTCACACTAAAAACCTTTTTCTGTGTGGTCTCCCTCGCGTTTGTGTGTTTAATTTTTACAAAAGTCGTCACTGACTGATATCGTCAGTGTATTTAAGTAAAGTCAGAAAGGGTTACAGTTTATATTTTTATTTTTTTTACGGAGAAACTTTCCAAAGGAGTAGGCTAACAACGAGCTAGGTAAGCAACTATTAAAGCGACTTCTGCTTTTGACATTTAAATAGTTTGTAAGACCTGAGGCGGGATTGTTTTATTTGTATGTTATTGCAGATCACATTAAAGCATGGCAAGCTTTATTAGCCACAACGCTACTGAACTACAACTGCAGCGTTGTGACGAGGTTATAAGTTATTCATGCTAGGGAAGCCATTCTGTGTCCACTGTGTTACATAAGTTATTAAAGTGTTATTGCATTTTCTGTGAACTAAAGTCTCCTCGCTCCCAATGGGACTGGCAATGTCACAACTTAAACTGGATGCCTCGCTTGCTTGTAATGTATTTTATATTTTTTATTTTTCTACTTTGCTCATGCGATTTGGGTCGCCTAGTAACGTTATTATAATCGTTATACTGTAACGTTACATGCGTCATTGGTCGTTAAACAGGGCTCAACAATAACTCACTCTTGACTGGGATGCATATTTGGACCGAGTGAAATTCAGGTCATTGTTGTGTTTGCCTTCAATTGTCACGCCCATCCCATCCCATCCCATCCGCAGGCCAGTCTGACACCCTGCACTGGGATTCAGGTCTTTCATTCACAGAATTAGATTTTAAAGATGCCTAATGCAGACCCTCTTAACATTGAAGTGTATGTCAGAGTTTGATTTGTGAAAACATCATCTTTAGTACAGCTGTGGAGTCATAGTGATACAGTCTATCAGATCGGCTGCTACACTATTGACTGCAAGTAATGTTCGTGGAGTCAAAGCATGACTGTAGTACATTAGTTTGCTTTATGACATACATAAAAGTACTTTTGTCCTCGCATGTGTTTACAGAGGTCATGGTTACTGATTTGTTTGTTCAAGGAAGTACTTCCTGGAATATCAGAGACATGATTTAAGGAATCACATTGTGCTTTATAGGAAGGGCCACGTGACTGCCGAGCATTGAAAACTGGACAAACAGCACACACCTGAGTTGCCTGCCAAATCTCTAGTGAAATCCCTTGTGCCACTACTGTGACTTTATACACTGGGTCATTGATATTTATGCAAATTCTCCTCATAGAGGGGACTTTTTCAGGTGGTGAGGTTATTGGTAACTTTGTAATTCAATACAATACGCGGCATGATTGAGGTAATAGATAATACAGTAAAAGTCTCATGGTGCAAATAGGTGTGTAAATTGAACTTCATGAACTTCCCAGACTCCCTACTTGGCTTCTTCGTGTTTCAGAGAAATGTAAAATTAAATACCAACTTGAGGTATTGTCATTTCAGCTCAACTTCA